TTTTTTGTTAGCTACGCCTTTCAGCTGAGATCTGTTCTATGTAGTAAGGCTTGCTGAGCGCATTTTGTGCGAACCATGGCGTATGCGTATAATTATTTGCTGTGCGGCTCAGAGTCTCACTGCATTACTCAGGAGCGTAACATCCGATGCAAAAACCAGATATGTGAAGTGGTAAAGCGATGAATATCGTGCGCGGATTTTGATTTTGGTATCATCGGGCAGCGTCGATTCGGAGCCGGCCACCGTACCGAAGTGGTCCGATTGTGAGTGGTGGTCCATTGGTAGTTCTTCGACTCCCGGCCGGGAAAGGTGGAGTTGACGAACTGTATGGTACAGGTTGTGATCGCTGCCGCAGGCAACGGAGGAAAGTAGCAGGGCGTGTGGAGAAGATGGTCTGCAAAGCAGTAGAGGACCCAGTGCAGCTGCGGTGGCTCGGACAAAAGTGGAGGCGCAACTTCCTTCAGCGCGACAGTTTCAACCTGTCGTGCATCTGCACACCAGCCTACGTCCCACAGAATGAGGCACCGTATATGATAGTGCTGAATCAATTGGTGGACGTAACTACCAACCGACTGATTATCCTCCTTCTTCCTCAAGATCACAAGTCAGGATATTGACGATCCGACCCTGCCCCTTGTCTACTATGTTGCGCAGCATCGTACAGGTTCGCGACGCTGCGGCCCACTCGTGATCACAACCTTGACTCGGGAGTTGCACGGGTTGTGTTCATCAAGGACATTTTGTATATAGAAGGCACCTGCCCTGAGCTGGAGAACTATGTGCTGCTTTATGATCATCAAGTACAGAACTTCGCCTCTGTACTCGCAGGAGGCGACGTGGGAGGCAAGATGCCACAGGCGACTCATAACCAAGATTTATTCCCGGACGGTCGGAGGCCGTCGAAGCACATCCACCACCGCATCGTCATGAAGGAGATTGACCGCCATCTCGAGACGTATGAAGATCAGAAGGAGCTGTTGCAATGCGCGCATGATAATTTCGAGGGTACGGGTCCACAATATGTTTCGAAGCTAAAGTTCACGCCCACTGGCCACTTGGTTTGGCAGTGCATAGGGCTGCCTACGAGCTCGCGGGGCTTCTGCATTGCGACGTCAGTGCCGAAAATATCATGATCAATGCTGAAACTGGAAGGCGTTTCCTGAACGACTGGGACCTCGCCAAGCATGTCGAAAATCCCATAGACATCGCTACTTCGGATCACTCAGTACCTTGAGTGTCCACCGCTTTCAAGATGCCCTTAGGCAGGAGGTGCTCCGCAATGGACTGGCTGCACGCAAAGATTGAACCAGGGGGCGCATGTGTGAGATGGTGTGTTCATACATGTGCACCGTACTTAGACATAGTCTAACAGCAAGATCGGGACGCTCTGCTCTCCCTCATAATCCCGAATTCTTTTTCGACCCGACTATTTAATTCCGGATCTGTTGCATTGAATTGGCGGCACGGCCCAAGCATCCATGGTGTTATTTATTCAGACACGGGCTGAGTGACTGAGAGATAATTCCGGCAGCAGGTTTACCTGCCAACATTTGCAGAGCTTAGTGGCAGTTTGGAGAGGCAGTCTAACACACTCACGGCTGCCCCGTTCAGAATAGCTGACGCCAAGGTACACGTTGGGTGCCGGCAGGCAGGGAACTGGGCAGAGGGTGATATGCGGGGTGCTCCTCCGGCCACTTTGCACGGACAACAGCCGACAAGGAGTCTCCTCGTCCTCCTGGCCACGGGCCGTCGTTGCCTTCGACTGTCTCTATCCAATCCTTATGTAAATCGTCGAGGGTGTAGAATTCTTGTTGAGGCATGAGGAAGAATTTCCCGACGCCTTCGCCACGTGCTGAGGCGGAAGCGATGCTCTTAAGGCCATCCATCATTTGGTTGTGCGCGAGATGTCCAGGTGCGCGCCGACCGCTTGGACAGTCTACTCTCGGCTGCACATAGACGTACTCCAGAGTAGACAGCCGCGAAGCCACAATGACAGCTTGTTTCGCCTTCTCTGATCCTGAACGATAATGGATGTATTTTCCCGAGAAGCAGTCATCGCGTGAACGCCGTGGGCATAGAGGAGGAGGAATGTCCAGCAAAATGCGCAGGAATGGAGATATGTGCCGGTCTAGGCTCAAGCTGGACATCCTGAAGTGGGTGATGTGCGGTGCAAAATCCCTCAACTTGAGCCAGCAGACGGGCATTCTACGAGAGATTGACAGCAAGTGTAGGCGGCGCAGCGATGGGAAACGCGCGTGCGCGTCTGCTGCACAATCGCTGGGAACGTAACCGATCGTGATGTCATGGAGAAGGGGAAAGTCTGGGAGGTTGACCGTGAGATCGAAGTCGTAGTAGTTGTGGATAACGAGACTATACAGGTTGGACGCGGAAGAGGAGAGAATGTTGCGCATCATGAGCTCCATTTCTGTCTTGCTCGTAGGTTTAGCCTGCGCAGTCTCCAGCACTTCTAGTGCAAGAGACTCTTCCATAATCGTCATAGTATTGTACCTGGGCATCTCGACTGATATGAAGAGATGGTGGATGACGGGCGGAAGGTTCAGTGCAGCAAGCCGAGCTACGAATGCGTGAAGCTGCCTTTCTCCGACGAGAGACACCGAGTGGTAGCGTACGGGTTTGACGACGTCATGCATTGTACGAGACACGAGAGACAGTGAGCACCCTGTGTGCCCGCCATCCGTGCAAGCAAAGGCTACAATCTTTCCCCACAGTTCGAAGGGACAGCGTTCCATGGCTGTAATGTAGTGTGATGAAGTCGTATGTGTGTTGGCGCCAAGCCATGCTGGCGTCGGGACCCCAGTCACTTGCCTTCCTCGCCATCTCTCCCGACCCACTGGAGGCTAAAGCGACATTCAGATACTCAAGCTAGAAAGCTCTGAAACAGAGAAAATACGAAGAACAGAAAAAGGACCTGTCCCAACCGAGAGCGGTTCAAAACCGGCCTCCGGCCTCTGGCTCCTCCGCGAAAGCACGGATGGGGTAGCAAAAATTGACAGGATCTCACGTTGTTCTATTTGAAACTAAGGAATGTACGCATGATTTTTTCCGTGCCACAATTCATGAATGGTCAATGATCATGAATTTATCCTGCATCCCTGAGATTTACACCGACCGACGCTTGAAGTACTTGGGCTGTTTGCTGTGACGTGAATTAGCCGCATGCAGACGCTGTATTTGAGCCTAACCCTGTACATACCATACCCTGGCATTCTACTGTGATTTATTCCGATTTCTCTTTTTTTTCTCAGCTCCAGGGCCTAAAAGCTGCAGACAGCCATAATACGCCATCACGTGACTACATCAGTGCTACGCGACGTGCGATTGGTGGTTGAGGTTTAGCGAACGCTTAGCTTCTGATGTCTCTAATTCCCAAACCCCGACTTCAGCTTCATCACTCACCACCACTTGCGTTGGCGTCTTCGACATCGAGGGCGATGATAACGACGCGCAAACGCAAAGCCCCCTCGGACGATGATGGCGGCGATGACAGCAATCTGCCTCGCAAGTTAGCCGCGGTCTCAGAAGAAACACGACCGAACCAACCCTTGCGACCCTCTGCGAAGAACGCTCCAAACGTCGCTGCAGGCAGGACTGGACTCGCACGGAAGGCACCTGCTCCCACAATACCGAGGAACGCTGCAACAGCCGGCCAGTCGACTGCTGCTACCGCCGCTGCGCGACGAACCATCCCGACGCGTGCGCGTGCGACAACTTTACCCCCGAAGAGTGCTGCACCGAAAGTGCCTGCACGACCTACCGTGCGACCTACTGTCCCTCGACCCACAGTCCGTCCTGCAACCCGTGCACAAACATCTCGTACCGTGTCTGGTCCGGCACGAGGAAAGGCGGCCGATGAAGAGCGTTTCCAGGCGCTGCAGGAGCAAGTCACGTCCATCGCGGCCGATATGGACGCCGAGCGCGCCAAGCGCGAGGAGCTCGAGGCTAACCACCACGCCCTACTTGCAACGTCGAAGTCGCAGGAGCTCGACCAACGTCGAGAACTCGACACCGCCCTCGATGAACTTGAGTCACTGAAACGTAAACATGCCAATGATCTACTAGACTGGGAGACAGAGGACAGGAGAAAGGACAGGAAGGTTAGGGAGCTGGAGGAGGATGTGCGGCTGCGAGACGAGGACCTCGAGCGCGAGCGCGAAACGGTGAAGACTCTGCGCGCCACCGTATCTCAACAGGCGACGGCTCAGCTGACCCTGAACTCGCAAGTCACCGCCCTCCAAGCCCAAGTAACTGCCGTTCAGATTGCGCTCGACAACTCGTCCAACTCGGCCGCAGAACTCGCTCTCAAGCTTGAAGCCGCAGAGAAGAGGATTGCCGAACAGGCGCAGGAGATTCGCGATGCCGAGGCCCACAGGCGAAAGTTGCACAACATGGTGCAAGAGCTCAAGGTATGTCCGTATCTCCGTCAACGACATCTTCTTGACGACAGGGCAGGGCAACATCCGTGTCTTCTGTCGTGTACGACCGCTGTTATCTTCAGACATACCGTCGTACGCACTGGTCAGGTCGGGTGGATCCAACTCTCCTAGTCCACCACCGGAGAACCAGGTGCTGGTGAGAGAGAAGCTGCGCGCGGATATCATGTTCCCCGACAAGATGGACCACAAGGAGATTGTACTGCGGTCCTCGAGCGAAAGTGCAACAGGACAAGAGCGCAAGGATGAGTGGCAGTTCTCATTCGACCGTGTAAGTGTCTCGTATGGCCACATTTCGGGAGAGTTAACGCTAGTCTCGTTAGGTTTTCGAACCACAATCTACCCAAGCGGAGGTCTTCGAGGAGATCTCTCTGCTTGCACAAAGCTGTGCGGACGGATATAACGTTTGCATCTTCGCGTACGGTCAGACCGGCTCTGGCAAATCCTTCACTATGGAGGGTGGACCTGTACGTCTCTCCGTCAGACGCCTCTACGAAATATTAACCCCCTTTTCCAGACTGAACCTACGATTGGTATGATTCCTCGAGCGGTTGAGCAAGTCTTCCGGGTGACCGAAGAGCTCCAGAGCAAGGGCTGGGTCTACCATTTGGAGGGGCAATTCCTCGAGATTGTGGGTTGATTGTTTCTCGCAGCTATCGTTTGCGCTGATACGTCTCCCTCAGTACAACGAGACCATTAATGACCTGCTTGGCAAAGCGGAATTCGACAAAAAGAAGCACGAGATCAAGCACGACAAGTCTGGGCGGACATCTGTCACCGACATCGACGTCATTCCGCTCACGTCACCGAACCAAGTGCGCTCGTTGCTCTCGATCGCACAGTCACGGCGAACCGTTGCCAGCACCCTCATGAACGAGCGCTCATCACGTTCGCACTCTGTTTTCACGCTACGCATATGCGGCGAGAACGCGGCCACAGGCGAGACATGCGAAGGTTGTCTGAACCTTGTCGACCTGGCTGGAAGTGAACGGCTGGATAAGAGTGGCGCGGGTAACGACAAGGACCGCCTCAAGGAGACGCAGAGCATCAACAAGAGCTTGAGTGCACTTGGCGATGTCATCGCTGCCCTCGGCGAAAAGGGCGACGGTAAGAACGATAAGCACATTCCGTACCGGAACTCGAAGGTAACTGTTGCTTGTGACCACTGCGAAAGCGCATGCTGACCTGAGTTGTAGCTCACGTACCTCTTGCAAAACTCGTTGAGCGGAAATTCGAAGACGCTGATGGTGCTGAACCTGTCGCCTTTGGCGGCCCACCTCAATGAATCTCTTTGCTCTCTGCGGTTCGCTACGAAGGTCGGTATCCCAGTACCTTGTCGCTACTCTATGGTACTGATTGATACGTGCAGGTCAATAATACAACATTGGGTACAGCGAAGAAACAGATCAAGAGCTTGGGCTCATAGCTGCACAGTATACTGTAGTCTCACTTTATCCTTGTTTGCATGGACCTTTGATGTATCGCTTCGATTCGTGTGTTCATATCATCGTTTATCTAATTGTACACTGACTCCGCTGGAGCCGACCGACAAGTATAACTATCTGATGCTATGAAGCTCGAGAGGTTGCGTAATTCGGCCGTCACCCTCGTTCGATGGGTCCAGCTAACTCCAATATGCGACTAGCATCCCCTGAATAATCAATTAAGGACATTCATATGTGAACAGATATGTGAGTGCATTAGGCTCACCTTTAACAATCTGAGTCTTTCAAATTATGCAAGGCAAACCAGATGACCCTGGCTTGCAGCGCATTGAGCCCTAAATCGCACCGAAAGAATTCTAATTGCTCATCCTTTGGCAGCTTCGCCAGGTTTCTCAGCTGAGTATCACCAAGGAAACCGTGGTGGACAAAGACAGGTGCGAGACTCTCCATCGCAGGACAGACCGACCGAAGAAATGCTTGCACAGCCGCGTCACCTGTCGAACCCTCAGAGCGGACCATAGGGGACACCACAGACGCTGGCCTCTTGGAGGTCTGGGATTTTTTCCCACGCGCAGCCACCTATGGTGGTTCAGTAAAATCATCACGCTCTAGTTGAAGGTAGAGATGCATTACCTGCATATTATTGTGACTCTTTGAACTGTGGCCGACAGCACCAGCATGCTCTGATTTTGATGCTTTAGTATGGCTTCGTTGAAAGCGCCTGGACAGATAACTGCGCATGCAACCCTCCGCAGGCCATGCGTTTTGGTACTGCTGCAAAAATGGTAGCTTCTTCATGATCTAGAGCAAATTGTCATGGCCAAGGCATCAACATAGGCAAGAAGGCAATGATACCTCTTCCAAAAACCTGGATGTGTCCCTATCAGATTGATCTTTCCATGACAAATCTCCATTCAAGTAGACTTCTGCTGCATTAGGTATCGCTTTCTAACCATATCACAGTAGATGGTGAGTCTTGACTTGGACCTAGGATCTTCTCACTGCAGATATTGTATGTGTACTTACCTGCAATGCCTTAGCTTCCTGTTGGCTCATCCCTGGTACCTTGGATGCCCAACAGGCAGACTTCCATTGTGCTGGTCGTTCTATAAGCTGGTTTGGATGCATCAACCAGGTGAGACAGAGGAGGAGATTGGGGGGGGGACCAGGGTCAACCTGTACGAGGCGGCTGTGAGAGAGCTTATGAAGGCATGGGTAAGTCATCGGGAAAGTGTTCAAACATCCCAGGTAGCTTCTCGCTCAGTGAAATCTCTTGGCTTCCCAAGCTAACATCTTCTCCAAAAGGATCTCGGCAGACCGCATGGGTGTTTCTGCTCCTGCATCGGGAAAAAGTCCGGGTGTTGAAGCCTTAGAGCCTTCATCAGGGAAACCTCCGGCATCATTTAGCCCGAACTGGGACCTCAAATGATCGAAGGCAGCGAAAGCTGGTCAAAACAAGCCAACGCTATGAGCAGTGTCCAAATTAGGCACTATCAGAAGGTTATGGCTTGCGCCATGAAGATGACGCCATGGGCGACTATCTCATCTGCGTTGAGCAATCACTGTTATGGTGTAGATATGTGTTCTTTATAGCGACACGAGCAAGAATGTGGGCTATAAGCCATCTGATGCCGGCTCTAAAAGCGATCACGCTATCGCACTCAACTTATGAGTCGTGACTCAACCGGGCTCCCTGTCAATTTTCTTTACAGTTTCCCAATGTCTCCAACCATCTCTTCCCTCGTAGTGGTTGAGGGTCCGGTCCGGTCCAGTCTTTTTAAAAAATTGAGTGGGACCAGGACTCAGACTGGTCAAGGACCAGCATCTGTTTGTGCAGGACCGGACCAAGACTGGGTCCTGGTCCTGTACAGTCCTCCGTGCAGTCCTGGACCGGTCATAACCAGTCTAGGACCAAATGCGGTCTTAGACCGATTCAGACCAGCTCAGACCAGTCCTGCCCTGATAAATATGACACAAATAAACAAATTTTGATTTTGAACTGCATGTACAGGTAGACTAGCAGTATACTAAGCTAATTTCTGGACAAATCAGTTTTGAGACCACACTACTCAGCCTAATGAGTCAAAGAGAAGACAGTGTGTGAGTCTCAGGAAGGCCAGAAGGAGTGTACCAGATGGCTATCTCAGAAGTGCTTATATACCATTCATGCATTTGCCAGACTGTTCTTTT